AATCCATCACGTTTTTGTGCGGTTGAATGCCATATCATATTCTTGGCATCTTCTCCATTGGCAAACAATCGCTTCAATCTTGGAATAATTGGAAGATACCATATAACTTTTGCGGGAGGTCTCTTTCTATCAATACATTCGCTATTATCATCCTTGTCTTTCAATTTGTAACGCGATACACCACATCTTGGACACTCATGTAGGCTTTCAAACTCTTTTACGTATAATACACAATCATTAGGGCAAGCATGTATCTTTTTATACTGTAAACCCATTGGACAAAGTATTTTTTGGCTTCATACATACAATCGGGCAAGGTGTTATCGCTTGGGAGCATATCTTTCAAAACTTCTAGTAACTCAGTGAAACTTTTATCACTCCAACCAAATTTGGCCTTCAAATTGACCAATCTCAATACAGTTGACAATCGCGTGAATGTTGTACATCCAGCATATAGAGGTATCTCCGAATCTATCTTCAATTTATCATAGACAGCGAGCATGTGCTTGCAGAAAATTCTCTTGACCTACATCACGAATCATGTCTTCTATTCGATCTTCCATTGTCATATCCTCCTCTTCCTCGGCTTGTGTTACTATTGGTGTATCAATCACTTCACCATGCCATGTCCATAGGATATAATTCTTCATTATCCCATCACATAAAAGATGTTCCCGTATTGTCTCTAGTGTGTGTACTCTCCCATTAACGCAGTTAACGCATGGACAATACAATTTTCCATTAACCTTGGTGCCATTGTGTTCGGCAAATCGCAAAAATTCTTCAACTCCATTCTCATACTCTTGTGAAATACGACTTGCATTTACCCAACTTCGATCCATTTTGGAATTGGAGTCTACAAATGAGAAACCCATAAAACGATTATTACTAATAATCGTTATCTCTAATGAAATCTATACCAAAGTAGATTAATTTGTAACGAAATTTCAACAGAATTTCGTATATTTTTTGGTCAAAACCAAATTTGTATAAATTGAAATTATAGAGTTTTCATTGTTACTACCATCACTTATATAACTACATTGTTATATGTAGTTTTCGAAATTCACACTTCATGATTAATTTCTAACAAAAATCCGGTAGAGTTTCCTTTGTTTTTTGGCAACAATTTTAAATGACACAGTGAAACACGACAATAAAAAGCCCCACGGGCATATTCAAGCGGTTCAAGTATAATTGTACACATCATCAATACATTGAAAAAAACTATAATATGACTAAGAATTGAATCAACGAGTTAACGGCAAATGACTAACAATCTCTACCTATGAAATGTAGTAAGTAAAATTGTATGACTTTGCCCAACAAATATAACTGCAACAACATACCTGTGGTTTAAGGCAGCGATGAAGGTTCGCACCACGAGAAACAGAGCGGCGCTGCACTGGGGTGGAGGTGGAGGATGCAATGCGGCGTTAGGGTCGAGGCGTGGTGAGCGGACAATGCAATGTGGTTGGAGGCTGCAATGCAATGCAATGGGGTGGTGGCGTTAGGATGCAATGCAATGTGGGTGGAGGCCGCTGGCTAGCGTCGCGGTGGAGGGTGGCGACTAGCGTCGCGGTGGGGTGGAAGCTGCAGTGGGGTGGAGGTGCTGCGGCGGGGGTGTCACGCGGTGCGCGGTGGCGACGTGAGGGAGGGCGTCCGGAGAGTCCAAATCACGGTGGTAGGTGGTGGTCGCGATGTTGGAGAGTAAGGGGAGTGGGCGCGATGTTGAAGAGTAAGGGGAGATACAAAAATGGTAGCCTATAATGAGAAAACGGGGTTTCAACGTCGGTTATACCCACACCCGATGTTGAAACTCGTTTTATCTCCAGTCATATATTTCAATCGATTGAAACGAGATTTAATCGATTAAAATAGTTCTGATCGGTCATAACTGGATTCTGATCGATCATCCTGACCCTGTAAGAGATTTTAATCGATTGAAACGTGTTTTAATCGATTGAAAAACTTTTGATCTGATCGCTCATAACTAAAATCTGATCGATCATATCTGATTCTGATCGGTCATATTTGTAATCTGATCGGTCATAATGAGTTGAGAAGGGTTTTCAACGTCGGGTTAGAGAATAACCGACGTTGAAAGCCTACTTGACATAGAATCCTGACACTTTAAGAGATTTTAATCGATTGAAACGTGTTTTAATCGATTGAAAAACTTCTAATCGCTCATAATTTAAATCTGATCGTTCACATTTGATTCTGATCGGTCATATTTGTACTCTGATCGGTCATAATGAGTTGAGAAGGGTTTTCAACGTCGGGTTAGGGAATAACCAACGTTGAAAGCCTACTTGACGTAGAATCCCGACACTTTAAGAGATTTCAATCGATTGAAACGTGTATTTAATCGATTGAAAAACTTCGATCGCTCATAATTAAAATCTGATCGTTCACATTTGATTCTGATCGGTCATATTTGTATTCTGATCGGTCATAATGAGTTCGAAGGGTTTTCAACGTCGGGTTAGGGTATAACCGAGCGTTGAAAGCCTACTTTCCACGTCGTGCATGATAAAACGACGTAGAATGTGTCAAAATTCGACTTTCGACGTTGGTTTTTGACCAACCGATGTTGAAATCATGTTCAACGTCGGCTAAGATGTAACCGACGTTAAACAGAGACGTTGAAAGTATATTTTCTAGTAGTGATATATATGCAACTTAGATCCTATATACAAACTCCACAAATTTACATATAAATGTTTTAAAATAATATAAAGAAAATCTTACTCAAAATTTTAACTGAGTAGAAATTATATTTTTTTAAATAATAATAATTGGATATATAGAAAGATGAAAGAAATACATATATAGAATTGTGAAGAGATAATGTGAGCATATATTTTGTATCTAGGAAATTGTATTTATAAATATTTTTAATTGCCTTATTAAAATCTGGAACGTTACCTCTAACTAAAAGACTAACTTTTAGTTTTAACTTTTCTTTAAATTCACATATATCATTTTCTTTTATTTTAAGAAATTTTTTAAAAATAGATTTACCAAACAGTTTTTTTTAAGTTATTTTTAAAATTAGTTTATCAAAATTGATCTCTATTTTTAAAAAATTGAAAATAAAATAAAATAAATAATTAATATCAACATATTTTAAGAAATACAAATTCAATGATATTTAGAACTAATAATATTTGTAATAAGTGTGGATTAATTATAAATGTTTATTTAATTTGAGAAATTTTAATTTTGAAAAAAATGCAGGGAACACTTCAAAGTTCAACTATCATGTGTTAATGACACTTGGGTGACGAATGCACCTCAATGTTCATAAGCATTAATTAATGCTTATCTCTCCTTTTTTTCAATACCCATGACATATTTTTACTACAAAATCAACTTATTTAATGTTATACTTACGTGTAATTTACTCCTTCTTGGATTTGTTACAAAATATTTTTTAAAATTACATAAATTATAAAAATAATTAACTATTTAACTTTATAATTTTGTAAATCTTATATTTTCTTTTTATTAATCATCATCAAACCATTTAATAATAACACATAATTGTTAAAGAAATAATAAAAATATGTTTATTAAAATCGTAAACTAGCTTACATTAAAGTTATTTTTTTTTCAGAATTATGTTTTATAATGAAAAAAATTATTTATATCCACTTCTGATTGATGTGAACATTTTTTACTTCAAAAACATTTTAGTTAAGAACTAGAATAATAGTCTTCAATCTTCATTTTTATTCTTATATTCGATGATAATATTTTTAAAATATGATTTATTTTAAACTTATATCTCCATCATAAATTTATCATTAAAAAATCTTAATAATATATATAAAACTTTGAAGTACACCGAGATAAAATTTTATAAAACAAGTAGTAAATAAAGTTAAAAATAAAAGGAGTGATAGGTAATGTGATTATCGGAAGTATCAATTTATAATTTTTCTATCAATAATGTGATTTCATATTTTAAACTTTTAAATATTACTATGGTAAAAATAATTATTATTTAAAACATTATTTTTAAATATAACACAAATCTAAAGGCTGAATATAATTTCATAATCAACTTCAAAAATAAAAATAAATATTGTGTGTAAGATATGAAAATAAAAATATCGGAATTAAAGATTTTTAAAAAAATTTCTTTAATATTTCATCAACGTGATGAGCAATACTATAAAAGGCTTGAATATATATATATATATATATATATATATATATATATATATATATATATATATATAATAAGATTTGTAAAATTTAAAATTGTATTAACTATTCTTTTATTAATTATATTATTTTTGAATCATATTTATTTATATTTATTAAAGAGATAAGACATAATTACTTATTAATATTTTAGTTGAAAAAAATATTAAGATAATAAAGATATTATTTGAAAAAAATAAATTTATTAAATATTAACTATATTTTCAATGATTGAATTAACATCTTAGTATAATATAAATTTAATTTAGAAGTGAGAATTTTAACATAAATTAAAAACAATAATAAATTTGAAACGAAATTATTAAAATAAAATAAAACCGTTCTCTTCGCTTATATAAATATAAACATTAATATAATTATTTAATAACTATTACGAAATGAAAAAAATAAATATTTCATTAATTTGAATTTTAAAGTTTTTTTCTTTTTGATATTTTCATAGGCAAAATTTAAACAGAAAACGTATTGAAAAAAGCTGAGGTGTAATTATTTTGTATTGATACATTTTTTCATCATTTATGCTTTCAAGAAGAAGTTGATCACTCGACCCAAGAAAAATTAATCTCTTCCTCTGGGTTCGGCTATGGTTATATAATATTTATGTTCCCGCCAAAAAAAAAGAATAATAATAATAAATAAAATAAACTCAATTTTGAATGAGGGAAAAATAAACGTTAAATTAAAATGCGACATTATTTACATCGCTATCACTTTCTCCATTCCCTCCTTCGTTTGTGAACTCCTAAATACTCCTATTTCGCTATTTATTTCCTTTCGGAAACCCGAACCGGTAACCCGCCTCTTACACTGGCAGTTAGACCGGGCGCGAATCGGAGGTCCAGATCCGGTTCAACGACCCGAATGTCAAACCGCCGAACCAACGAGATTACAACGGATTTCATCTCCATCAAAGCCAAATCCTTCCCCAAACACACCCTTAGACCAGCCTGAAAAACGGGGTACTTAAAAGGACACGGTGGCACGAACACCCCATCACGCAACCACCTTTCGGGCCTGAATTGGAGACAATCGGGCCCCCAAATGTTCTCCATCCGGCCCATGGCGTAAGGGTGATAAGTGACCCGACTCCCCTTCCGTACAAAAGTACCATCTGGCAACACGTCATCCTCCGTGGCGAACTTCGAATCGAACTGAATGGGCGGAAACAGCCTCATGCTCTCGTGAACGGCGGCGTTCAGGTAATGCATATGGCGAATCTGCTCAAACGTTGGGAACTCCAGGCCGGGGCCTACCACCCGGCCTACCTCCTCCCGGATACGCGCCTCAACTTCCGGGCTTCTCGACAGCAGCCAAAAAAAGCCCGTTAACCCGGACGCGATCGTGTCGCGACCCGCCAAAAGAAAACTCACCACGATATCTCTTAAGTAAGCGTCGTCGTCCACGCATCCCATGAACCGCGAAAGAAGGTCGCGGTGCGAGTTGAACCCCATTTCCCTCCGTTGCTTTATCATATTGTCTGCGACGTCGTGGACGACCTTGATCGCTTCTTTCAGCTTTTTCTCCGAACCGGTGCGAAAAAGTCGCTTCGCTTTCCAAATGAACGGCGACGAGGCCATGGCGCGTTCCGCTGAGAGTTTGGAGGCAAGGTCAAACGCGACGGCGATGTCCGAAACGGGAAGAGTGGGAAGGAGACAACCCGGGTCGAGACCGAACGAGAATTTGCAGATGTTGTCGAACGAGAATCTTCTTAGTATGTCTTGTAAATCCAAGACGCGGTTTGCGTTGAATTCGCCACGCGCGGTTGAGGCTGCAAGAGGGATTAACCGCGCGTGGATCTCCTCGTTGACCAAGTCCATCGCGTAGGAGCGAATCGCGACGCTTCCGAGTTCAAGACTCGCCATTTTGCGTTGAAACCGCCAGGAATCGCCGTCGACGTTGAAAATCCCTTGGCCCAGAAGGTCGCCGAGGATGGCGGAGAAGGGTTTCCCTTTGGGGTAGTTTTGGAAATTTGTCTTGAGAATGTACTCAACGTTGTCGGGGTTGGAAGTTATGGTGTTCCCCAAGACATGGACGTGGATGGTGCCCGATGGTGATTTTCGGAGAAGATGGGCGTACCAGTCGCAGAGGTTGGCGAACTTGGTGGCCCAGGCGACGGTCAAGTAACTCTTGCAGATATCACAATTACACCAGGGCTTCATCCTGGTGACGAAGATGAGGAAGGAGAAGAAAGAAAACAAAAGGGTGAAGGAGAAGAAGAAGAAACCACAGGTAGCAGACATTGATTGAAGAGAAAGAAACCCTTCAAAACTCATCTCTTTCTATGAACTTTTTTTTTAATGTAATGTATATGGAGTAAAGAATGGAACTGTGGAGAGAGAGGGTTGGAACGTGGGATATATATAATAGGTTTGGTTCACTGTAGTAGTACTGCTATTAATTAATTGATTGATAGTTTCAATACAATGGGCATGAATAATAGTAGAAATTTCCAGTGCTCTGGTTTTTTGTATTATTCACTACAATAAAATAATAACAATAACAATAATAAATAATAATTAAAAAAATGAAAAAATAAAGTGGTGGAAGGAAATGGGTTGACATATGAACACGTAGAAGGCGTAGGCGTCAATTGGCATAAGTAACGCGTGCGCAAAATAACGAGACTCTCTCTCGGGAGTTGCTGGGACATACGTCGTTGTTGTTGTTGAGGTTTTATTTCACCCACGTGACGGTATTGTTTTGGGTTGTGTGGGCCAACACTTTTTTTATTATTTCGGCTCTGTCTTTGGACTCTTTACAGTCCCAACCAGCCGTCACCGCGAAAAACTGGTGCCAGTTGCAAATAGCTCGGAGTACAAGGCTTCGGTTTTTCAAGTTGCCTTAGGATTTTTGTATTATTTGTTTTTATCTCATGTCGGCATTTGTTTTGGGCCAGGTTAGTGTGTGCTGCTGTGACTGCTGAGCTCACACGGGGAGACAATTTCAAGTACCCATCTATCGATTTCGTTTATAAATTGCTGCTCTATCCTTTTGCACGTTTCCCTTTTCTTTACTTTTCTTTTTACCCCAAATAATAATAATACATGTGTGATGGATGGCCAAGTCGGCAAGGGTTATTTCTCAATAATTGAAGACAATTATGGAGCAACAAAATCCTAATGCCCACGATTGGAACACCATGTTTGATGTATTTTACGAGCATGATTGTTCTATTGATTATTTAGATAAAAAGTGAGATTTTTTTGTTTAATAGAAAAAAGTAGTTTAAATGAGTTGAATGTTATACAATTAATTTAATTAATTTATTTTATCATGTGACTTATATAAAATGTAAGAATGATCTACATGTGATTTAAAAAAAATATAAATATCTATTTCTTATTATAAATTAAAATAAAATAAAAGTTTACTATAACAAAATGGATGGATATTGATTAATAAAATAGATTAAAGTTTTGTATCTGACTATAAGGATTTTATCACGGAAAGACATCAAGAAAATGTGAGAAAAGAAAGAAAGATAAAAAAATAAATTCAGAAAAAAAAATTAAAGAACAAAGAGATTAAAGAATAGACTCTCATGAATCAATATTAGTATTCTTATTATAATTTATATATATTATAATGTAAAAATTAATAATTTAAAGATTTTATAGAGTAATTTTTTAAGATAAATTAAGTATATAAAAAAATTATAAATTAACTTACAAAGTATTCATGTTATTGATTATTTGTTTGAGATGATAAAATTTTATAATCCATTTATTTAATAAAATACCAACATTGTTTTTAATTATATTTCTTTAAGAATTTATTTTCTATAGATAAATTTGACTTTTGTGTAACAATCCACTTATATTGAAAAGTTGTAACTATTCATTTAATAATCAAGTGATATGAAAAGGAAAAAAATTATTAAAAAAAAGTAATTAAAGTTTTGTAATTTATTCTTTGAAACGAAAAACAATCTTTATAATGTGGATTTTGAAAAACATCACTTTTTTTTATATAAATTAGTGAAAAAAAGTAAATATGTGAAACCAAGAGACAATAATATATTTCTTTATCATTTTCCATATATTTTTTTTATATTTCATTTGTTTTTAAATAATTGTTTTTTTAGAAAAAAAAATTGAAATATGTTTTATTGCAAAATTTAAGATTGCATTAATTGTTGTTTTATCGATTATATCTTTTTTTTTTAATTAATTAAGAATAATTTTAGATAAAGAAAATGAGAATACTTAATTTTGATTTGTGCAGATCTTAAACTATGCCTATTTAAAAATAGAGAACGTATATGTTATTTTTCTATACTAATAATTTTTAAACACGCTCCTTACAAATTTTTAATGCAACATTAACTACCATTAATGCATAATCCAAACTAAATTTATGCATACATGAATTCGTTTTATATAATATTAATTGAAGGTGTTAAACAATGAACTTGAAAAATGAATTAGCTATGGGAAATTATTTTCTTCAATTCTTTCTCCTCTCTATACAACATCTACATTCCTTCTATTTCAACATTATTAAATTCATTCACGTGTCCCTTTTGTTCCTTCTATTCATTTTTTTTTCTTAAATTGAGTCTATTTCTTCTCGTTTAAATAAAAAAATGAAATAACTTATAATTAAATAAAACTTGTAATCTAATATATTAAGTTTTTTAATTGAAAATTGTATTATTTTATAACCGACACTGGTTATTAATTAATATATCGTGCTGTATTATTAATCTCTTTCAAAAATAACCTACACTGGTTAACATTTTGCTCCGTCACAATATATGTATGCAGGTTTAACACTCTTAAACATTACATGATTCACATTCTCGTTTTTAATTCCGCATTAATTTTTTTTATTATGTCTTGATAATATTTTATTTTGTTTGTCTCATAAAAAATAATGTATTTATTAAAAATTGATCTATTTTACTAAATTTAGTATTTTATAAGATTTGTTGTCAAAACATTTTTCAAATAAATATAACAATTAATAAATAAATTATTTAAAATATATTCCATTCAAACTTTGAAAATAGCCAAAATTACAAAATAATCACATAATAAAAAATCATCATTAAATACAATTTAAATTATTTAACTAAAATAATAATTATTTAAAATTATACAACAGATGATACTATTTTTCATTTATTTTTACTTGATTTATTTATTTATTTATCAAATCAACAAATTCAAAATTTTAAATATTTTCAAACTATTTCTCACTCATTTTAATTCTATCAAATAACAAATCATTAATTTTTTCTTCAATTTCCTTTTCTACGTAGAATTTTATTTCAATAGTCAAAGATGGACATAAAATGGAGGATTACCTGTTATTTATTGATTACGGAAAGAAGAATGATTGATAGATTGAACTCAAAAAACGTAATCGCGGAAAAAAATGTACACTAAACCTTGAAGGCGACGAAATGTTGGAACAACGTTGAATTAAGATAAAAATCAAACACGTGAAAGAAATAAAAAGGTAGAGAAGAGAAATAGGTGGAGACCAGAACGACGGTGTTTTGAAGCAGGTTAACACAATGTTTCAAACCATAGAAGCACGTGCATCTTCTTAACGTATAGACGTAGTTTTTCTAATTTTTTAATATAAACTAAATTAATATTAATTTTTATTATTTTTAATAAATTTATTATTTTTTAATTCAATATATATTTTTATAATTAATATTTTTTTCTACATTTATGAAAAATTAATAAAATTAATTATAATTTATTAAGATCTTCCTCTAATTCACGTACTTTTAAAAGATAAAATCATGGTATATTAAAATTTTAAAGTAAATAATATCTTATTTATAAAATTAATATTAATAATATTATCATAATAAACTTATCACATAATATTTCCTAAATGAAATAAATACAGTTTTAATTTTTTTTTTACAAAGTTGATATATATAATTTTAAAAAAAATCAAAAGTATTTATTAAAATATGGTGATGTACCTGTAAGAATATTTTTTAAAGAAAAATATTGATAAAAAATGACTTTAAATAAAAATAAATATATTATTATAAATATTGAATAAGAATTATTTAAAATTAGATACAATAATTTAAAATTAAAAAAATTATCAATATTTTAAATTAATTTTTAAATAATTTATATTTAAATTTTATAATAAAATATTTTTTTTTCTATTTAAACCATTCTTCTTAATATTTTTTATGAAAAGATTTTAAATTTATAATGTAAATTTTGCACGAAGAAGGTGTTATAAATGATTAACGAGGAATTTGTGTGAATAAGTTGGATGGTGTTGAGCAAAATTCGGTGGGTCCATGGCATGCCGGCAGCAGAAGATTGCTGCGCCGTGTTGCGATGCATACAAAATAAACGTTCTTAAAAGCGATGCTTTTGAAAGTGATTAGGATAAATTACTCTATTCATGTCAAAATTAATGTCTCATAAATAATATATTTAAAAAATTATAAATTTATTCATTTAATTAAATCAATTTATTTTTCATATATAAAATTTAACAATAAAAAATGAATTCTTTTAATATAATAATAATATAATTATGATTTTTTATTTATCTTATTATTTTTTTCTCTATTTTATACTTGTTTTTCTTCCTTTTATTTTTCTGTGACACATCTTGTTTTAAATTTAAAATAATAAATTAAAATTTGATAAAATATATCTTTTATTATTTTAAAAATAAAAGTATTTAAATTATTCAAATATATTATATTTAAAAAAATATTATATTATTAAGGTATTACAAATTATTATATTATAATTCTTAAAACATAAAATATTTATTTTAAAGTAATTTTTTAGTAAATATTTTTTAAAAATTACCTAATATTGACTAATAACTCAACCTAATTCTAATTAAATTAAATTATTCAAATAAAAATATATTTAATTCATAAATGTTAGATATATTTTTAAATCAATGAATAATTGATTTATTATCATAAAATTATTTAAAATTAATTATTTATATTATTGTAAATAAAATTATTTATTATTATTAAATTTTAAATAATTAGTCGATATATTTTGTTCAATATTGATTTTAGAAAACTTACATTAAAACAATCTTATTAAATTTCAACAGTATTTTTAATTAGAAGAGTGAGCGCGAATGAAGAGAGAAAAATAAGTTGAAATAAAAAAAGATAAATAATAAATAAATGAGAAGAGAGAAAAAATACAAAAAAAATTACGAGAAGAGAAAAGAAAAGAAAAATTACATATGAATAGTAGATATATCTATCTGAATAAATAAATTAATAAATATTTTAAATGAGTACAACTTTTTTAAAATATTATATTTATAGGATTGATCCCCATCGTTACATAAGTTTATCCACAATTTGTTTAAACCTATATTAAAATTATTTTTTTTATTAAATTTAAATAATTTATGAGTGAATTGATATTTTTGTATAAATTAATTATTCATAAGTTAATTTTAACTTATAGACAAATTAATTTTATTTGTTATTTCTATTATAAAAAAATCTTTATATAAAAATCTTTCAAACAAATATTTAATAAATATAATATAACTTTAAAGTAATTTTAAAATATTAATATACTAACATATTTAACATAATATTTTTCAAGAGTAAATCAACGTATTGATTAGCATTTTTTTAGAGTATAAAAATACTAAAAAATTATGGTATAATGCATTAAAAAAAACACATGAGTTTAAAATGTGGTTAATCAGCATGAAGTTGTTAAAGCTTGCAAATGAAACAAGTTAGGTTATATTTTGAAAATAACAATACTTTTTAAACCTAATATTAACTTCTAACTAGCATAATAAGTTTGAAAACATTCAATGAATTAAAACTATTAATACAAATTTAAAGTGTTATAATGACATTGTTTATACATATTTAAATATACATCTCTATTCATTTTTTAAAAGAAAATTTAAACAGCATATATTTTTATTTTAATATTTTAAAAAATAAATTATATTATTTAATAAAAAATTGAAGCTAACATATATTCTATTAAAAATGCATAGTCAATTAAAAAATAATAGTTATCCACCATATATTATTTACACTAACAAACAAAAATTAAGCAAAAGCTAATTGTAAGTATTAACATTAGTTAAAATTAAAATCGACCAATTTCAATTTTAAAAAGTAATTATTGCCGTCAACTAAAAATATATTACCAATCTTTAAATAAAAAAATAATTTAAATCAATATCAACCACTATTTATCACCCACTTATTTTTCTTAATTACTAAATATTAAAACATTCGTGAATTTACAGTAATTAGAATACTCATTCAAACAATAATTTTTTCTTGTCTAAATAAATTTAGTTTTTAAAATATTATATATATTCGAATTCTTTTAAAAAAAAACTAATGTATTAATAATTCATATTTGTTTATAAGAAAATAAAAAATGATGATAATTATATTTTCTGCGTGGGAGAGAATATGGATTATCATTTAACACAAAAGCTTACGTGGGACTTAGTTTAAATATTATTAATATTATATGATATTTAAATACCTTAAAAACATTTCATTAAAAAATAAAAATTTATTTGTTATTAATTTGTAAATAGTAAAAATATAAAAAAATAAAGAAACGAAGCTTATTTAATTTATAATATATATATATATATATATATATAATAATAATAATATCATGGTTAAGATAATAAATTTTTATTGTTTAAAAGTTAAGAATTAAGATTAATGATAATTTATATTTTTTTTTATTTTAAAATAGACGAAAGTTCTAAAATCTATATATTTTTCTAATATAAAATAAAAAAATTTCTAAAAATCTATTTAATATATTCCTCTTCGTTGGAATAAATAGTTATCCTGTCTTAGTGCACTGTAGCCAAACGAACTATTTGTCCATTTCAATGACCTTTTAAGTTTAGAAGTTCTGATAATATTTTTTTATAAAGTGCAACATTGAATAACATTATTGACCAGATACAAAGTAACAATTATATATACTTTTTAAATAATGAATATAAAAACAAAAAGTATTTCAAAATTAATATTGTAAAGTTGACTTCAGTTATCATATTTTGACTATTTGAAATCTTCGTTCAAAATTCCAGCACATAAAGATTTGATTTAGTGTTATCCGAATCACAAGTTAATTGATTTTTTTCAAAAGTAGTGGGAAGTTTGCTTACTTTCAATACCCACATGTGTTTGATTCAGTGAGATTAGTTAACATGTTTTAGAAGAATTTCAGGGTGGTAAATGATCAATTAGAACTTAACTAGTAACGTAGTTCATATTTATCAATTCGATTTCTTGCATTTTCAACTTAGAACTCGAGTTAAATGGTGTGTTTCACTATACAGGAAAAACAGAGGATAAAAAAGTAGAGATTAAGGGAATAAAAATAATTTTAAGTTGTTTTGTTTAATTTTTTTAGTAACATTATAAATTTGTTTATTTTGATGTATAATAATAAGAGAGAAATTTAATTTTAAAAAGTTATATCATAACAATTTTCAATAAAAGGTCGTTTCAACGAGATTATAGAAAAGAAAAAGTAGAAAAAATAAAATAATTTAATATAAAATAAAAATACTTTATGTAAAAGTTATAAAAAAAATTATAATTTCTCTGAAATTTTATTTTGGTAATCTATAGGTAATGATTTTATCTTATAAAATATTAATTTCTTTTTATTATATTATGTTTTTTTTTAGAAGTGTCCGTCATTGTTATATGTAATAATAACCGATAGCATTTGGTTTATCCACTATTATATGGTTTATTTAGACAAATTTCTTTTTATCATTTTACCCATTTATCATATTTTATCACACATAACAAAATTTTTAAAAATAATTTATTAGTATAATATAAATAATTATAGAAATAATTCCAAAATTTAATTTTATAGCGATGAAATTGTCTAATGGTGAATAAAAAATATATATATTAATGGAAATTTTTTTTATAATTGATACACCATTACGGTGGTAATGTATTCTAATGGAATATTTAATAGATTTATTATTTAATAATTTGGTAATTTGTTTTCTCTCACGATGTTATGCTATTACAGATATTCAAAGGTATATATAATTAATGTTGATTATTTATTGATGGTGTTTTTTTTTAATATGAATTTTTTTATTATTTAATTCTTTATTATTATGAACCCAAGTAGCGAAGAAAAGCAAGAAAGTAAAGAATATTAAAGATGATTATTGAGTTTTATATCGAAAAGTTATTTAGAGACAATGATTTTAGACTATGGAAAATTAGAATAGAAGTTATTTTGATATATAATAAGGATGTGTTGAAGTGTTAAAGTATAATACTAATTAGTCATTTTGAGAGAGAAAAAGATGAATGCCATGATTAAATAAGACAAAATCATTATTTTAAGAGTTAGATAATAAACACTACAAGAAAATCGTGTATTACCAATCGAATTTGTAACCGTCGAAAAATAATTATTATTGACTGAAATTACCGACTGGATATAAAATATTTGTGGAATTTAATGTTACTAACGGATATACCCGTCGGTAAAATAATAATTAGTTACCGATGGATATATTCATCAATAAATCCGTCGGTAATTTATAGATGAATTTACCGACGGATATATCCGTCGGTAAACCTGTCGATAAATTAACAATTAATTATCGACAGATATATTCGTCGATAAATTCATTTGTTATTCGTCGATAAATTTATCTGTAAATTAACAATTATTTACCGACGAATATATCCGTCGATAAAATTATATAATATAATTTAATTATTCACCTAATTAAAAAATAAAAATATTTTTTATTTAATAATTTAATTTAATCATAATTAGATTAATTTATAATAATTTATTAAATTAAATAATTTTAAAAAATAAATATATAAATATATAAATTATATTTATTTGTAAATTGTTATTAAAAAATTCTAGTAGCTTAGTGGTTAGAGTATCAGTCTCCAATTCTAAAGTACTTGGGTTCATATCCTATCAATGACATTTCTCTTAATTTGATAATAATTTAAAGCTATAAAAATATAATATGAATAAATAATTAATAAGAATATAAAGGGGAGGGGTTCTATAAAAAAATATGCTATAAATAAAGTAAAATTATTATCGACGGATTCCAGTCCGTCGGTAATATTTACCGACAACTGAATTTCTGACGGATTTTTGGCCGTCGGAATTCTGTCAGTAATATTCATTTATTGATGGATTTTTGTTATTACTGACGGATTTTGGTAATTTTAATATTTATTGTAGTGAAAGTATTGAGGGAGGTTAGAAAGAAAAAACTTTCAAAATGATGTGTAAGAAGCACACAGGTCATTATATATGACAAAATTTTTTGTCGATAAACTTTATTTGATGTAACAATGCTATAAGTTAAAGATGACAAAATCAAGAATGACAATGTAGTAATTGAAAGACTAAAAAAAATATAAGATGATCCTGAGAATATTGATATCAAGTGTGAAGGATTGAGTAGGGTTAAAGATGTAAACTTTGTTAAGAGGTGATAATATGGAGAATGTGGAGTTTTGTGACCAAAGCGTATTAATAAAGTCTCATAGATTATAATTTGAGGATGATAAATATCTATCTAATAATTGTTTGAGTATGCTCACGTAAATCTTTAAGATCTTACATGATAGAAGAGTCTTATTTTCTTCTTACTGTAAATTATTTATCGATAAGTCATGGTGGTAAATCAATAGGGGATCAAAATGAAGTTGTTGAGGATAAATACTGAATTGATTTTTGTTTCAAAGTAGTTTAATGAATTTTTCAAAAAGAAAAATGTAAAGAAAATAAACACTAAACAAAATGGTATTGGTGAGAAGATGAGTAGAACCATTGTGGATAGAGTGAGGTTCAATGTTATTAGGTGTTGGTTTGTACAAGATCTCATGAGAAATAATAATAATGTTATGTATGTTATAATCAGATATCCATTAAGACTCTAATGGAGGTTGACACCTTGGCATTGCACATGTTAAAAGTGATAAATTAGAAACATGGGTAAAAAATATATCTTCATTGAAGAAATTAATGACTATAGGTTGAAACATAGAGAAATTGTATATTTTATTAACAGGGACGTCTTATTCAACGAAACTTAAATAAGGATGACATAAAAGAATCTAGAAAAGAATAAAGAACAAATTCAACTTTAAATGGAGTTACCATATTTCAAATTAGATAGTTTAAAAGTCAAATGATAAATGCTAACCATCAAATATTTTTTTTTTAACGTTAAGAGACTAAAATATGTTAAGTTGTACTCCCACTGTCAACTTACCCATAAAAAAAAACAAGATCAACGTGGAGAAAAGTTTTTATATATTGATTTGATTTATTATATTTTTAGTATAATTAATTAAGAAATCATTTAACAAAATATAACCCAATAAAACATAAAATCTATCTAATATAAACTAGTTTAATGATGATGTAATCTAATGAATCATTTAATAAATTTATATTTTGAGAATCTTATAATTACTTTACAATTATTTTATATTATTATTATATAATTAACAATAGTCATTGGTTATTATTATATTAGTGAATAATTTTCTTATATATAATAAGATTTTGTTGATAATTCAAGTATTAGTTTGAAGTTTTACATTGGATAAAAATGAGAATTTGAGTAACTTATAAGTGAGAAAGACCCATATTTTAATATTTTAAGGTTTTGAGTTGAATGTGACATCATATTTTCTTGTATAGTTGACGGCGATATAATTAAGGTTATTATTAGTTGTTCATGGCGCGAGTCCCATTAAATTGACGGCGGTAAGGTAATTATTAAATACTCATGATTAAGAAATACTTCTGCTCGGGGACCTTAAGATTTTGGGTTGAAGGTAATGTCATATTCTCTTATATGATTGACAGCGGTACAAATAAGGTAATCAATAGTTACTCAAGACATTAAGGTTGTGACATTTATTATTATTATTATTATTATTTATATAAGAGTAGGAGGTCAAAAATATTACATATATGTAAAAGTAATTTACATCACTATATAAGATATACAATAGAAGAAGGAATTTTATTTTTGATTCCTTCTATTTCTTTTTACGATTTTACAAGTATCTACATTGCCGGTGGAAACAAACTAATTAAGGGGTTTTGAAAAAGGTAGGAGGCATACAAAAGGTAACCACTACTGGCCCATCTAACATAATGAGATTTCCCATATCAGATACAAATGTTATTATTGAAAATCCTGTCCCTCTAAAAGTAACCGAATTGTCTATAACATTTGTTTTCCAAGTAGTTCCGGGAAAGAAGGCAGTGATGCTTGCAGAAAAGGGATTTGGAATATTTGGCGCCTCCATCTACTTAAGTTGATTTTTAAATAAAACATGCACAAAAGATCACAATAGGGAGTGAGAACATTTATCAATTACAATAATACAATCTTATAATATATAGATATATATGTTTCAACTTCCTCAACACATTCTATTTTATGAAGATTTAAATTAAATTTGTAGTGACTAGTCAGGATAAATGAGTTCAATTTTAATCACTCTCACAGTGATATTTACTCATTTAAATCCCCAAGGTTTAACCTCCATCTACAATATCATCAAATATTCACAAATAGATATTATTGTAATTGAATAATATAACTATAGATTAATAAATAAGATCGTTGCATTACTAGAGATAAAATAAAATGAACAAACAGGACCAGTACATAACTGGAGATAATTAAAATAGGACCAGTGCAAGACTGGAGATAAAATAAAATGAACAAACAGGACCAGTACATAACTGGAGATAATTAAAATAGGACCAGTGCAAGACTGGAGATAAAATAAACAAGCATAAGGTAGGACCATACGTAGTTAGAGATAAATAAACAAATAACTAAATAAATAGAATGAGGTTAGGGACACCTCACTCCACAACTATAAGCAAAATAAAATAGATTTAATGATAATATTCTCCTCCCCTACCTTAAGAGTTGCGGATGAGGTACCAAAATTTTTGTAGAGACAATTTTTTTTTTCTTCTTTCTCTTCTTCCCTCTCTCTTTCTTTCTCTTTCTCTCTCTCCTTCTTTCTCTCTCTTCCTCTCTCTCTTCTTCTTTCTCTCTTTCCTTCTTTCTCTCTCTTCCTTTCTCTCTTTCCCTCTTTCTCTCTCTCCTTCTTTTTCTCTCTTCCTTATCCTTTCTTTCTCTTTCTCCCGCAACTTTCCCCCTATCCCCTTTTATAGCCATATTTTTTTTTCTTAATGAAATCATTAAAACCATTAATGACTTGGATAAAACTTACCCATTAAGATAAGTTAACCTTATCTTTCAATTTATTATTATTTTTTTTTGAGATATTACATTTCCCCTATACTTACGTAAATTTCATCCTCGAAATTTTTAACGACTAAAATAAATAGGGGTAACTTTCCCTGATTTTCTTTTCTAATTCCCATGTAGCGTCTCCAGTACTTTCATTCCAAACAACCGTCACTAGTGGGATTTGTCTTCCCCTCAGTTGTTTGATCTCCATATCTGTAATCTGTACAGACATTGTTTCAAATGTAAGGTTATCCTTTAATTGTACTCGTATCTCGGCATTATTACATGAGAAGGGTCAGAAATATATTTTCTTAATTGAGACACATGAAACACATTATGAAGATTAGAAAGAAAAGGGGGTAAGGAAATTTGATAAGCAACAGGACCTATTTTTCTAAGAATTTGATAGGGACCAATAAATCGAGGAGTGAGTTTCTTGGCTTTCATTACTCTACCAACTCCAGTTGTCAGTGTTACTTTCAAGAATACATGTTCACCTTCTTGGAATTCAAGGGGTTGTCTTTTCTTGTGAGCATAACTTTTCTGTCGACTTTGAGTTGTTCTTAATTTTTCCCTAATCATCTTAATTTTCTCCGTGGTTTGTTGAATCATGTCAGGACCTAAGATTAAATTTTCTCCAGTCTCAAACCAACATAAAAGTGTCCTACATTTTCTCCCATACAATGCCTCATAGGGTGTCATACCTATGCTAGAATGGAAACTGTTGTTATAAGTAAATTCAATTAATGATAAGTACCGATCCCAGCTACCAGAATCTTCTAACACACATGCTCTCAACAAATCTTCCAAGGACTGAATGGTTATTTCTGATTGTCCATCAGTTTGAGGATGATAAGCTGAGCTAAGATGAAGCTTAGTTCCTAAGGCTTGATGTAGGCTTCCCCAAAATTTAGAAGTAAACCTAGGATCCCGGTCAGAAATAATACTAGATGGAACTCCATGTAACCTCACAATTTCTTTTATGTACAATTCAGTCAGTTTCTCCAATGAATACCTCATGTTAATGGGTAGAAAATGAGCAGACTTTGTCAACCTATCCACGATAACCCATATGGAATCAAATTTTTGAATTGTTCGTGGTAAACCAACTATAAAGTCCATTGCAATACTATCCCATTTCCACTCAGGTATGTCTAAAGATTGTAACATCCCTGCAGGCCTTTGATGTTCTATCTTAGCTTTTTGACAAACTAAGCACGATGCTACATATTGTGCTACTTGCTTCTTCATTTTAGGCCACCAAAATATTTTCCTAAGATCCTGATACATTTTTGTTGTGCCTGGATGTATGCTCAATTTACTCTTATGTGCTTCATCTAAAATCAGCTTTCTAATCTCTACATTATTAGGCACACATACTCTACCACTAAATCTCAAAATTCCCGCTTTATCTATGCCAAATTTTTCTCCATTCTTTTGTCCTATCAACTTCTTTTTCTTTTGAATAAATTCATCAACTACTTGTGTCTTTTGAATTTGTCTTTGTAATCCACTAATAATCTGAGTTAAGTTTAATTTTATTCTATCAGGATTTATGGTAATTGATAAATTCATGTTTCTGAACTCTTCTAGCAGACTCATCTCATGTATCATAAGGGAAGAGACATGTAAAGATTTTCTACTTAAAGCATCTGCTACTACATTTGCCTTTCCTGGA